TGGAAAATGCTGAAGAACTCCGACACAGAGAATTTGGAGAAATTGCACTCCAATACTACATTGACAAACAAAGGGTAAACAAAGGGTAAACAAAGGGTAAAATAAGACTAAAAACTTAACGTTTAAAAAGTGACATTTTTATGAGCTCCGAGTCACCGAGAAAACTTGGTCAGATGTTAGCAGCTTACTTCCCTGAGGAGGATGGAAGCGTTACATACGTAAGGTTCAAAAACAACGAACCTGGAATTGCGTACCAAATTCGCAATTACATGACCATGGAAGAGTACGAAAGGTTCCTACAAGAGAAACCAGCTCTAAACAACTCAGAAAAGAAAGAATAAAAAGTTTAACTCGTAATTGTTTATTTTTTTACTTGTATGGGCAAGCTGCAAGAATGAAGTCGACTATCTCAGTCTTTGTCTTGACCAGTTGGACGGCTCTTGCGAGTACGTCTGTTTTGCGGTCTCCAGCTGGTGTCTGACCTTCGTAATTGCGCATGTTCTTGAGAGCTCCAACTGTAAATGATTGTAGGATGAAGAGTCTCTCAGACTGCTTGAGGTAGTCTTCACGGTCACGAACCGAATCTGTGGTACGAGTCGAATTGGTCGATTTGAGGGAAGAGAGTGAAAGCCTGTCGTCTTCCATAGGGGCTGTGGCATAATCTTTGCGTAAACGGTTCAGACCTTCTTCGAACTCTTGGTCTCTCTTCGATTTGGATTGAGATTGGAATTGTTGGGGTGGAGCTTGCTGGAACATCCAAGGGTTGGGGAAGTAAGGCATAGGCTGAGGAGGGTAGTTCGGGAAGCCTTGTGGTAGGTAGTAACCTTGAGGTGGAAATTGGTAGTAATTTGGTGGAGGGACTTGCTGGAACTGAGGTGCAGGGGCTGGTGCTTTCGGTTCTTCTGGTTTGGGAATGGACTCGGTTGGTGGGACGTCGGACATTCGTTTGTGGCTTAACCGTCGGACCACAACGATAAAAATCTCTGCTACTAGCAGTACTTCTACTGACAGTAGAAGTACTTTTACTGACAGTAGAAGTACTTTTTCTGACAGTAGAAGTACTTTTACTGACAGTAGAAGTACTTTATCGTCGAAAACCCTCTCAAATTTTCCTTTTTACTGACGGTAGAAGTACTTTTACTGACAGTAGAAGTACTTCTACTGACAGTAGCAGTACTTTTTCTGACAGTAGCAGTACTTTTTCTGACAGTAGCAGTACTTTTTCTGACAGTAGCAATGGTCGAGGTCGAACCTACCGACGAGGCAATTTACCTAATTGAAATTAACGAGCTTGTTAAAGACTTCCTCAGGCAGAATGTAAAAGGCAAGCTTGTTAACGGTTGGATAACGGGAAGGGCTGCCTTGAATCTCGAGACTTCGACTGGAATTCCAATTCAAATACCAGACGGGACAGCCTACGATGGCATAAAGCAAGCAAAGAAAGAAGCTCTTCTCAAGTTCTTTGCCAAGCGTCCTTGGATACTACTTCCAAACAAGGAGAACCCTTTCCCAAGAATGAGCCAAATTCTCAAGGGTCTCCTTCACTTCTCGGGTCAGCCGTTCTACATAACCTGTGAAGGCGACATCCAACCAGTTCAGTAAACCTTAACGTTTAGAGTAAAAACATTTTTTTTCATTTTTTGAATGAAGCAAGTTAAATTCGTCCCACACCAATCTCAATGGACCGATGAAGAGTTTCAAGCCATAGTTGAAGACGTTGAGAACGACATAGACGGCGAACTTGAAGGAGCTCAAATCACAATTGCAACCAAAATTGCAGGAGTCAAGGAACAGATAGCTCCACTTAAAGCTACCAAAGCTACTCTTGACCTCATGGATAGTTACCGTTTAGATGTCAAGAGTGGAATAAGACATTTAAAATTAAAACTTCTAAACTACGAAGCTATACTCCAAAAGTTAGCAGAAATGAGAAGACTTTACCAGAGCTACTTACATGTAAGGGACTTACCTTCAAGCAGTCCGACCAAAGATGAATTTGTTGACATTGTCCCAATTTTGTCCGAAAGTCAGCTCAGATGTTTCGAACTGCTCCCAACATATCCGGAATATGAACGTTTGCCTGAACTCTTCCACAATCTCAAAAAACGTTTTTTGGTTCTCATGTTCCAAACTTTTATCGGAAGAGACAACAAACGTTCAGAAGAAGAACAAGATATTATTTTAAACTTGTTGTATGACATAACTGTCATAACAAGCTTTTTGAAGTAAAACCGCCATTCTCAAACCACTTCATTTTTTCGATGTCCGAACAAGCACCGAAGCCAAACTCAATGGCAGATGTCCTTTCAAGGTTGACAGACAAGCGCCCAGTTCAAATTCAAATTGCCCAATTGAACGCTCATCTGTCAAACACCATTCAGACTCTCCAAAGTAGTCTTATGGAAGAGATAACCAATCTCAAAGTCGATGTCCTCACGAACCAAGCTTCCAATAAGAAAGTCCTGAACGATTTCGCGGAAACCTTGCGCCAATACAACATAGAGAACCAAAACCTTGCCCGACTCATCTACCGTTTCTTCGAAGAGATAGACGCCATCTGGAAGGTACTCGGAAAGGACAGAACATGCAACACCGTACTTCGTGAGTACCAAATTGAAGAAGGAGTTGTCGAGGAAGAAGAGGAAGAAGAAGAAGTTCCTGAAGCCGCTACATGGGCAACCCTTGTTGCCGATGACGGTTACGAAATTTCCCAACCCTACCCATACCAAATCCGCAACAAGGAGACAGGCAAGGTTCTTACCCCAGTCCTCAACAACTTGGGACACTTGAACCTTAACCTTCGGAATCGCGGTTCAATCTCCATGGGCAAGCTTGTCGCAATTCAATGGGTTCCAAATCCAGGCAAGAAGACGAAGGTCAGACACATTGACGGTGACAAGCTCAACAACCGTAAGGAGAACCTCGAGTGGTTCTAAGAGTAAAAAAATTTTATTTTAGGGGGAAACCCCAAGTAAATTTAGGCGTTTATTTGGATAAGTATGTTAAATTAAGGGCAATTTGCAAAATTAGTTCCCGACCTTTGAATTGGACTCTTTCGTTATCCCAGTTGCGTAGGAGGTCGTCCCAGAGGAGTTGGTAGAATTGCCAATCCAAGGACGATTTGTCCTCCCAGGCATTGAGGATGTACTGCTCGTAGAGTTTCATGACCTCTGCCTTGCACCAGACACCCTCTCCCTTGGAACGTAAGGCTTCTTCGAAGTGCTCGAATGCGATTGGCTGCATTGACCATCCGAAATGACACTTTTTGTCCGTTTGGTCAATGTTCGTGTCTCGTGCCATAGTCGACGAAAATACAGACAAACAGGTTATATATGAGTTTGAGACCAAGAATGGTGTAACTCGACCTGTCCGATTCAAAGACTCCGAGGGCGACCATGAAATTAAACGGAAATTAGCTAGGAAGGAATATAAAATGGACTGGTTGCCACCACCTCCACCTCCACCACCTTTACCTGTTCCTCAAGTAAATAAGCCTTTCCCGTTCCCAAGAATTCCCACATTTTAATTCAAATTCGAATAAAAATTTTTTATTTCATGCAATGTTTATTTCTGTGCCGTCTTCAAGTATGCCCCAGTACTTACGCTTGGAGAGGACATGAACTTCGGTGAAAATTTTGTCCAATTTGAATTGACCCATCTTCTCACCGACTAAACCCATTTCAATGAGTTTGTTGTATCCTTCTTCGTTCGTCATGAGTGCGTCAATGTTCTCATAGTAAACCTTCACTTTGATTTGACTTCGGAGAAGAATTTGTTGTAGTTGTCAAGGACTGCCTTTGCGAACTGAGGGTAAGACCAATGTTCGACAATAGGTTTTAATGTGGTTACTAAGCCACTTTGACCTTGAGTGAATTCGTACTTCAAAACAAAAGGAGAAAACCTTTCAACAAAGTTGTCGACCTTCTCATAATGTTTACTCTTCATCTCTTGAGGTTTCTTAATGGAATATCCCCATGTCGAATTCATAAGCAATTTGAGTGTCATTGCAAGTTTGGGGTTTGAAGCTTTCCTAATATCATACAGTTGTTGTATGACTTTTCCAACTGTATAGTTCCTTCCCGGGAACTCACCATCTTCGTTTGGAATTCCAGTCGGAATATATTGGACAAACCTCATGTACGCAGCGTTAAGGTCGACATAGTATATCTTTTCGTTTGAGTCGAACTTGTCGCAACCAATTGGTCCAGTTTGTGGAAATTCAAGTGAGTCTCTTATCTTCTGAGAAACTTCTCCTGTTATCTCATAAACATCGTCGAAGCAACCTGTTTCATATAAAACCTTCTGACCTAACTCAGATGCTCTCCAATACAATTTGACGTCAATTGGATGTCTCAATGGAAGTTTTTTATAGCATCTTGAAGTTCTTGCAACCTCATTGGAAGTTCTTCTGGTTCAGGTTGGTATCCGAACAATCCAACTCCTTGTGGAATTGTGTACTTCTTTTGTACTAGAACTTTGTCTGGAACAACTTTTGGTCTTGCTAACAGTGAAAAGTTTGTTTCGTCTTTTGGTACAAAAGTTTCTGTCAGCTTGTCATCTGGAATTGGTTCCAACAAACCTTTCTCGAAAAGAATGTTTACAGCTCTGACAATGTTGCACTTGCCTTTTCCGAACAATGGGTTTGTAAGACTTTCGTTCAACATGAAGTGGTTGTGGACAATTACAATCTTCAACCATGGTAAATTGAACTCAACAACATAGTCGTCATGTGAAGAACCTTTAGCTGTAGGTATGTTGACTCGGATATTGACATTTGCCAACGGTGCAATTTTTGCCAATTGACCTCTGAGAATGTACCTTGTCTTCACACATGACTCAAGATACTTCATCTTCTCATCTGTAACAAGACCAGAGTTCCTGAGACATGTAAGAATACAAGGTTCATTGACAATTGTTTCAATTGAATTGTAAATTCCATACCTTGTCAAGTCAATGTCAGACTTATTTATGAACGGGAAGTATCCAGCATGTTGTCTGACTGCTTGAGGGTTAGGTTGGTACCATTCGAACTTGACACTTGCAATTCCTTCAATTGCATTCAAAATGTCTGAGTCGGAGTCAACCATTTGTTCTCTCTTTGTAGTCTTGAAAGCGTCAAGAAGTTTTGCGGCTGTTTGTTCATTGCCATGTGCATAGTAAATGTGACCATCCAAATCTGTTATGGTCAATCTGAGATTGTGTCCTTTCTTATTTCCGTCTTGAATTGCAGCAAGTACACCCATGAAGCCTTCTTTGTTCTTTCCTTCGTCAAAGTTTACTGTAAAGGTTCGACCAGATGTAATTTGACTTCTAACTTCACGATACTTTTCATATGCATATCTTGTTCTTTCCATGGGAGCATGACCATCCTCTGCACTACCTTTTTTCCTTCTCAAAGGATGCAATTGTTCGTCATGTTTCCAGTAGAATCTGGCAAAGCCGTCGTGTCCTTCAACTTGAGGTTCACTAACATCGAAAGGCATGTCCATAAGACGTTCTTCTTCTAACCTCTCTAGTCTGTTTGGATAATTGGCACGTGCTGTTTCCAAATCCATTTCGTAGCGAAGACCAGACAATTTGTCATAGACTTTTATGGGTCTTCCCTTCCTATATTTAAAATTCTTCGAAACTCTCCAACCATATCTTTGCAACTCTGCTTTTATTCTAGCAGATTTCTATCGATTCTATATGGGGGCATTTTTATAAAAATAAAAAAATATTTTTTTTCTTTACTTTACATAACCGCCTGCTGCCATAAGTCTTTGACGCCAACCCATACCAGCTAATGAAGGTTGACTTGGTTTAGTTTGGAAACTAAACTTTGGTTTTGGTTTATCTTCAGTTTTTGGTTTTTCTTCTTCTATCGGTTTTTCGTCACTTTTCGGTTCCTCTGACTTTACCTCACCTGCAGGAACAGTTGTGTCGTCAACATCTTCATAAATATCATATGCCATTTGTTTTTGTTTTCCTTTCAACTTTTTGTGTTTGTTGTAAAGTTTAGAATATTTCGACTCTAAGTCAATGAGATGTTCTATAATGAACTGTTGGTCAGTGAAGTAAACTTTTCCATCTGTTGTCTCGAAAGCTCCTTCAGACTTCAATATTTTATTTGTGAGAGTCTGTTTCTTTTTTGAGATACTAGCCGTTCCATTTTATGAAAAGTGACTTTATAGTTAGGGTTTGTATTTCCAGACCTGGCACTTTCTATTATTGAATTTTTCTCTTCATCTGTAAGTTCTTTGACAGGTTTTGACAATGGTTCTGAACTTTTTGTTTGTGGTGTCAAATCTACCGTTTCAACTTCTTCGGTCATTTCATCTCAGTAAAAAATTTTAGTTTGGTTTGTTTTCAACTGGTTGTTTAGGTTTTTTAAGTCGGTCTAAAACTTCCTGAGGTATAGGAAGAACTTGACAAACACGTGGTGTAACTGCTGGAAGTCGACAAATCCATCTTGAACCCATTTGTCTCAATGCTGTATTGTTCATTTCATCTCAGTAAAAAATTTTACATTCCCCAAGTTTGAGGTGGTTGCGGTTGGTTATTGTTTACCCACTGTTGTGCATGGTTATATCCTCTGTTAAAGAATCTTTCACCTTGGTCCATATAGTGTCCTGCTTGGTTATAGTAGTCATTTGCTTTGTTATAATAGTTTCCTGCTTGTCTTCCTACATTGTCCATCCATCCTTGAACTTTTCCTCTTGTTTCAGGATTTGGAATAAGATTTGTTGCATCTCGTGCTACATCCCAACCTTTCTGTACAGTTTGTATAATAGGTTGTGCTTTCTCTTTAAGTATACCTAATGTACTCAAAATCTTCCTTCCAATTCCAAATGCACCTCTGGCTATTGTTCCCACTGCGGGCAAAAATCTGGATGCAACTCCTGCTAATGCGCCAAATAAACCCATTTCTTATGGGTTAAAAAATGACGAATCCAAACAAGGACCCCTATGTTTCTAAAGCGACAAAGAAAGCACTCATGGTAAAAATCTTTAGTTCAACACCAAATGCTTGGTTTATGGATATCTTGGAAAACATTCCGAGGTATAGAGAAGATGGACCTCCATACTGGTTAATATTTGTTGGTCAAAACACAAGATACTGTGAAGCCATACCATTATGGTCCAAAAATATTTTAGATGTGAAAACTGCTTTGACAATATTCGTTGACAAATACCATCCAACAAAACTGACATCTGACTGTGAAAGTTCTTTCAAATCAGATGATGTAAAAAACTATCTGCGTTCAAAAAATGTAAACCAATATTTCATTGTCGACCAAAACCATTCTGCTCTTGGTGTCATTGACGGTTGTATAAAAATGTTAAGAGACTTAAACCAACCACAAGGTGGTGAAGCAAATGAAATGTCATATGACGACAAGTATAGACACTTCTCCATGGCAAAGATGAGACAAGTTTTAAATATTTACAATAACCGTAAACAAAAAGGTTTGGGAAACCACTCCCCCGAAGAAATGAAAAACAACCCTGACTTAGAGAAAGACTATATATTTAATAATTTAGTCAAAAGAGACAAACAAGAAAGAATGCCGGGCTTCAAACTTCAGAAAGGTGACAAAGTAAAAATAGAAATACCTAAACGCGACCCATATGAAAATACTATTGACTATGACAACAATGGGAACTCGACAGGTACTCACATTCGTGTTCGTAAAAATAGAAGAAAGTATACAAGAGAATATTATGAAGTTTTAGGCAAACATGGCAAAATGTACACACTGCAAGCAGAAGATAAAACTACTATTGCAGACCTCGTTTCAAACTTGTCAAAGTTCAAGGTGGTATACTTTCAAAGACAGTTCCTAACAAATATAAGACAACTCCTGACGAATATGCTAAAGAAGTTGAAAATGACGACTAAGCAATTCTATACCATGCGTAAACTGTCATGTAAGGTGGCATGTATTCTTTACTTTGTCCCGTTGTTTGCGTATATCCTGAAACGAAATGTGTATGGTTTCCTTCTCCCTGAGTGTCATCCCAGTAACAATTTATAGCAAACTTAACGTCGTCTTTAACATCATATCCTTTACCTTTTGTCATTCCTGACCAATCCCAATATCTATGCTTATGCCAACCTGCTTGAGATGTACTTAAATCTATGTAGTGACTGTGTGCAGGTAAATTTTCACCTGAAATCGTTTTACTTCCTCCTGTTTCCTTTGAAGAGTTTGCACAATACAAAAACCTGTCAACTATTTGTTCCCATGCACCAACACCAAACATTGCTTGAGGACCTCTCGCATCCATAGACGTATAAATAGAACCTACTGGGTTCATTAAATCAAACATATGAGATAATATAGGATTGTCTATTTTGAACTTAAAATATAGTGCAACTATTTCAGGTTTCTTCTGGTTCATGTCGGAATATTTTTTATAATATAATCTTATGTTTTCGGGGTAGGTAAAGTCTTGACTATAATATTTATTTCTGTCATCTGTATAATAATATACTATTCTCGTTTTTTCTATTGCATTATATCTTTTATATCTATAATAATCTAAATATAATGTTAGCTTTTGTTCATCTACATGTGGTGTTCTGACGTCATCTCCATAGTCATAATAATATGGTGCTGGAGCTGGGTTAGGCAATGTCATATCTGTCATTTCATAAACTCTTAAATATTTCTTTTGTTCGTCTCCATATAAGTTTAAGTAGCAGTTGTTGTCTAATGGAACTTTAACTTGTGTACCATCATTCTTTTTATAGCTTACATACATTTCATTGTTATTTTTCGGAATGAGTTTATACCGTGTACCATTTTCTAAGGACTGTACCAACTGCCATCTAAAATATTTATTTTCTTCATTGACAGAAAAGTCACCAACAATAGTTTCAATATTTTTTGTTCCTATCAAACTTTGGTATATTTCATTGACATATGTTTTATCTGCTTTATTTTCAAGGCTAACGTTTAAGTCTGTTATTTCAGAAGATGTATGTGTATGTCCAACGTCACTTTTCCTGTTTAAGGTTTCTTGTAAGTTTGTAATATTTGCAATGGTATGTGTATGTCCAACGTCACTTTTCCTGTTTAAGGTTTCTTGTAAGTTTGTAATATCAGATATAGAATGTGTATGTCCAACGGCACTTTTCCTGTTTAAGGTTTCTTGTAAGTTTGTAATATTTGCAATGGTATGTGTATGTCCAACGTCACTTTTCCTGTTTAAGGTTTCTTGTAAGTTTGTAATATCAGATATAGAATGTGTATGAGTCTTATCTGCTTTTGTCTCTAATGTTTCCTTAAGACTTGGTATTTGGTTAATATAATGTATATGAGTCTTTTTAGAATATTCGTTTTCAGCTCTTGTCACTTCACTTGACATTTTATTGTCAACATATGTTTTGTCTGCTAGTTCAGGATGAGTATGTTCTTTTGTTGCATAAGCATTGTTAGCTCTTTCTTCTTCTTTTGCTATTGCATCGTCTACATATTCTTTGTCAGCTTTGTTGTCAACATCTGCTTTCAAAAGAAGTTCATTTATAGGTTTCCCGTTTAAAGTTCCTTTTGTTGGATTTATACAGACAGTATGGTTCTTATTGTCTTGAAACAGAAACTCATCTGTCATTGGGTTTAATGTCAGTTTTAAGTTTCCTTCTTTCAATGACTCAGATATCTTAGAATAGTTTGAAAAGTTTGTTGTGTTCTTATTTAGAGCTTGCATAATGAGTTGTCGGTTGTGTTGTATTTCTCTCATGGAAGCAATATCTTTCGACATTTTTATTATAGATAAAATATGCTTCCAATAGAAAAAGAAAATTCAAGAGTTGCTACAACTAAACATTAGATGAACTTTTACTAATGTCGGTCAAAAGTTTGAGACAGAGACCGTAAAAGCATGAAGGCTATCGTTTTGACTACCCATTAAGATGGCTAAGAGACCCATCTGTCACAAAAGCTATTGGCTTTCGTAGAATGAAGTTCATTTCAGAAAGCCATACATGGTTCCCATTTACGGTCGTTTTGAAGTTCGATACTATAACAAAGAAAAACATACGTATGAGAAATTTGAACAGGGAAAACTTTTACAAGTTAGTTTGCTTATAAATTTAGAAACAACTCTTCAAGCTTTTCAAGAAAAAATAAACGATATCTATATCGAATATGCAAACCAGTATAACATTGACGAAGGAGAATACCATCTCGATATTATTTATGACAGGAAAAATGCAACTGTTAAAATCAATAAAATAGAAGACCTTGGAGAAAACGTTTATATTTCTACAAAATATAACAACTTGGCATGGTATAGATTTATGAGGATGTTAAATCAGCCTGCAGCATATCCAGTACACCCGGACTATTATGAAGTCGAAAACCCTAATGGAACATATGAAAATATTTTCGACCAAGATGCTATTATTGTTCATGCTTCATTTTCTGGCGCCCAAAACTCTTTCTTATGCTTGGCAAATGACTTTTACGAAAAACCTACAAAGTTATACGAACCACCAAGTGGAAGTATTTCAGACTTTCAAGTATGGTTTACTACAGATGGAAGAAAAAGAATAATTCCATTATACCATGCGTTTTACTTAGAACTTAGTTTCATATACAACTACTATCGAACGGTAAAAATATAATTTTTTAATACGGTTGAGGTGTTGGATTTGGTTGCCAACTAGACTGTGGTGCAGGTTCAGGCTGTTGTATAACAGGAGCTTGCTCTTCTGGTTCAGGGTCTTTAGGTATAATACCAACAAACTGACCTACTCTTTTACCAATATTTTTGACTCCGTTCCAAATTCCTTTTCCGACAGATTTTATTCCATTCCATATACCTCTTCCAACTCTTCTGAAGAAGTTTCCAATACTACTGAAGAAACCCATTTTACTATATGTAAAAATCTAATGTCCGCCTAGTCTCTTACGTTTCCTGTTGAGTTCCATAGCATTCTTTAACTGGAGCTCATACATTCTGTTTCTCCTCTGGTAGAAAACATATTCTGGGTCAACTCCTGTGTTCGCGTCATCTGCATAAAGTTGTTTATATCCGACTTCAGGGTTTGTATAAAACTCTTTCCATCTCATATTTGCATACCATGGTGGCAAACCTAACGCAGCGTCATTTGACATGGCAGTTTGCATTTGTACATCTGTTGGCACTTGACCATAGTTTGCCATTGCAGTTTGTATTCTAACTTCATTTGGAATATTCTCTGGGTTTGGTTGTCCAGGTTGCTGCGCATTCGCTAAGTTCTGTGCGTCCATTTAATATTAGATAAAAATATCTCTTACGAGTACATATACTGAACATTTGCAGGCATTGGTTCATCTTCATATTCTCTGTACTTTTCTGCCACGTCAAATAAATAAATGACACAATGGAAAAAACCTAAAACAAGTAGTCCGATTTCAAACCACATTTACTTACTAATAAAATTTCTTTATTGTGACACTTTCTCCAGTTTATAAGACCTCTCTCATATTCTATCTTGTCATATATAAACTCATAGTCATGTATGTCCTCTAACCATCTCATAACGGTTTCCAAACCACTTTTATCGGATGTAAAGTAAAAGCATGGATGGTTATGTATAACGTCTAAAGTTTCTAAAGAGTCTCTCAAAGTCCAGTCTACTTGGTATTGAAAATCCCATGTGTTATAGAACGGCGGGTCCACTATAAAGAAAACATTTTCCTTGTCTTTATATTTTTCATACAACTCTGTCCAATGACATCTCACAAACTCTATACCCTCAATATATTTTTCTATGTTCTCTTTGAAAACATTTGTATAGTTAAGATATAAAACTTTTGACATAAGTGTTTCAATGTCATGAACTCTTATAGAACCACTATATAATAGTCTAGCAGATATACTATCCCAGTCTATATATTCTGCTTTTTTCAAAACCTCTCTCACAATATTTTTCTTATCTAATGGTATACGTTCCATCTTACCTATAGGTATCTTTTCTTTTAACTCTTTCAATATATTGTTTGTGTCTGGAATATGTTTGAGACGGTCCATATAGTTGTCGAAGTCATTGCATATAATCTTTGAGTCAGGAAATACGGTATGGCACAAATGGGATATATAGAAACTTCCACCGAACAAATCTACAAATGTTAGACCATTCGGTAGTTTCTTAAGTTCTCTCAATATAATATCTTTACATCTACTCTTATTTCCAAAGAACGGTAACGGTGGTTTTGTAAAATTCATTTATATATAATAATAAAAATGTTTTTTCCTGAAAAGTGACAGAAAAGTGACAAAACATGAAAACATATATAATTTGTGAAAAGTGAAACAAAAAGTGACATTTTTAAAAGTGACACCATTAATATGATGTAAATAACAACGGTTTTGGTTTTGTCACCGGCTGGTCGGCTGGGGTTCGGTCTTCCTCTTGGGTCTTGGGCAAAATTCTTAGGGCTAGAAGGGGCGCAGCCCCTGGAAGCCCCTCATACCTGACCTATATAATATACCTTAAAGCCTTCCATCTCCACTACAAATGGGAGAAACTTTGTCCGAATAGTTTAACATTCGGACAAAGTTTCTCCCATTTAAAGAAAGAATTGTTCCTTATGAGGTATATATTCATACTGTATACCTCATAAGGAAAATTCCCTCCTTAAAACGAGAAAACTTGTTCGAATTGTTTATCATTTCGAACAAGTTTTCTCGTTTTTAATAAGAAACTAAAGGCTATGAGGCACTGGTTATATATTAGTGCCTCACAGCCTTTAGTTTCTAATAGATAGCTGGGAAACTTTCTCCAAATGATAAGTTATTCAGAGAAAGTTTCCCAGCTATCAAGAGGGAATTGTTCCTTATGAGGTATATAGTTATAATGTATACCTCATAAGGAACAATTCCCTCATTAAAATGGTAGATATTTTTTACTTATTACTCATGCTTTCAAAATCACAATCCTCTGAAAAGTTATTTTTTATTAAGAATTTAGAATTTTGATAAATACCTTTTTTCAATTTGATATAATACTTATATATTTTCAAAAAGACATTTTGAAAAGATATCTCAAAAGTTCTCTGAAAACCTATTTTTGATTAATTTTGAGAAATATCCGTATTAAATTAATCAATAAATTCATTCAACACTACTTTAATTTTTAAATTCAAAAAATTATATGTGCTTCTTAAAATGTCTCACAAAAATTTTATTATAAAATTATATACAATATTAAAAATCCCATAACATTTTTTTACTTTACATAATCGTACATCCTCGACGATTAATTTCCCCTCAATTCCTATCGTTGACTGAACTTAGCATGCAACATTTTTGTATATTTTGAGAGAAAATCCCTAAAAAGTGAAAAAATCTGAGACGGTTTGAGAAAATATATAAACTATTGAAAATTTGAATTAAACTTCTAATTTGGAAAAAAGAAATTTGGAAAGAAGAAAATTCAAAAATCGAGATTTAGACTCAGCATCAAATGGAGAACAAAATGTTTCTTCATATGAAGGAAAAAAATTTTCTTGAGAAGAAATAGAGTTTTTAAAATTTTATTGTATGTAATGAAATAAACAAATATTAAAATTATTTTTTGATAACAAGAAAATTCCCAACAGAAAATATTTGAGAGAAAGAAAAAAGAAAATTGAAAAATATTACTCTCCTTTACATTTCATGAGATTTTCAATTTATTTTCATAAAATTGACAATTTTATACGTTTAGATGAAAATAACTGATTTTGCTTGAAATAAAAATTATTGTTTGCTTACAGCTATCAAATAGATTTTTGCTATTTTGATTAAAATTTGTTAATCAAATTAATAATTTTTTTTTCTAAATATCTTAAATATCTGGATCACTCACTGATACGATGAATTAAACGATAAAAATAATACAAACTCAACTAAGTTTCCTGTCTTTCAACTAAAAAAAATTATGCAAATTAAATTAAATTGTTTATTCAAATATTAAACAAAGATGAAGTAATTACAGTTATCATAAACTTTATGAATAACTCTGTAATTGGTTCAGATTTTCGTAAAAATATTTTTATTAAAATCGATAAGAATATGTTTACCTACTATCACCATATGTCGATAAACGAGAGTAGAGTGATTTTTATCATCGAAACTTTTTAAAAGCTGTAAGCAGGAAGTAATAATCTTGTTTTTTCTGAGTTACTTGTAGAACTATTGATGCCCGAGTTATCATTGTGATGCAGAAGGATATCAATGTACTGACTGAAGGATATGAATTGAATTGAATTTTATTGAATTTCAATTTGATCAAAATTTGTTGAAATGATATGAATGTGTCAACTTCTGTATCATTCTCCTTCACTCCTTCCTTATTCTTTCGAGAACGAAGCTAGCTCAGCTTTCGCTGAGCGAATTGATACTTTTCATGCCCTAAACGTACATACTCTCAAATTTATCGAAAAAATTAATACCACCTAAACTAGTATATTCTTATTTTAAATATGATATTATCCTTATATTCCACATTAAAATTCATTTAAATCAACTTTTAAAAAAGTTCGAATCCTGCGCGTCTCACTTTTTAAATTTTCCAAATGGAAAATTATATTCTCCTAAAGTGAAAACAATTTTCCAAATTGACTTCCTTATCAACGGCGATGATCAAAAAACTTATCGAATTTATTTTACACGATCACCACATATTTTATATTCAGCACACCACCATAATTGTAGATCAATGATTTTTTGTAAAATATTTTTCCATTCTCAAAAAATAATATTCATTCAATACATGCGGTTTGTCATGTTCAGCTCACTTTCATCTAATGCTTGTCGGAAAACCAGCTCCAGCATTCAAGTCTACAGCCGTCTTCCCAGATACAGACTTCAAGGAAGTTTCCCTTGAGCAATACAAGGGCAAGTGGCTCGTTCTCTTCTCATACCCACTCGATTTCACATTTGTCTGCCCAACAGAGATCATCGAGTTCTCCAACAAGTATGAGGAATTCAAGAAGATCGGCTGCGAAGTCCTCGGCTTATCCGTTGACTCTGTCTTCACACACCTTGCCTGGATCAACACACCACGTAAGGAAGGTGGCCTCGGCGAAATCAAGTACCCACTTATCGGCGATCTTGGTGGCAAGATTGCTAAGGACTACGGCTTCTACATGTGCGAAGCCGGCCACACACTCCGTGGCACAGCTATCATTGACCCAGAGGGCATCATCCGCCACGTCCAGATGAACCATCCAGATGTTGGCCGTAATGTTGATGAAATCCTCCGCCTCGTTAAGGCTTACCAGTTCGCTGCTAAGCATGGCGAAGTTTGCCCAGCTCAATGGCACGGCGAGGGCGACCTCACAATCAAGCCAAATCCAAAGGCCTCTAAGGAGTACTTCGGCAAGGCTAACAACTAAATCTGTAATTCGCAGGTTTTAATCTAAACAGGTCGGTTTCGTAATTTCATTTATTTTTCTTTATTGTATTTGAATAACTTAACTTGCCTATTTAATTCCCTTCAATCTACTATAAATTGTATAATTTATTATCAAGTCTGTTATGATGAAACTGAATTTTGCTATTTCATTAAAAGATTAGATATTAGAAACAAAAGATTACAAATTGTAAGTATAACTTAAGAAAATAAAGAGATTTTTAAAATTTATACTAGAAACTAACAAATAAGAGCATTTTGGTAATTCACAATTAATAAGAAAAGGGTCAACAAATTTGATATCGCTTATTTTTTGACTTTTTATCAAATTTTCAAATTATAAACAAATAGTTTAATACTGAATTGGATCAATTGATTCGGTTGAGTGATTTTGTGAATGTGTGGCCGCTAGGTCTTGCAATTTTGAAATTAAATATCGAACGCAAAATGAGGAAGCAAATTAGTACTTCATCTTACTAGTTGAAGTGAAGTAACATATTTTTGAGACTATAATAGAGTCTGGCATTGATATTAAGGATATATTGTGTTCTTGGGCAGGTGATTCGAATGAGGTCAAGTTGTATTTTTTCAAAAAAAAATCATTCACTCGCGAGTGATGTGTCTGGAATAGTCCTTCACAAATGAAGAAAACAATTGTTTTTTTTTCCCTAAAATTTTCAAAATCATGAGTGACAGTGACGCTTTTGAATATGATGATGACGATGCAGATATTCATATGACCCAAAAAGTTATTAAAGAATGCTGCCGTGAACATGGTTTATATCTAATACCAGAATTAAATGATTCACTCCATCTTGAAGCCAAAGGTTTTGCATCCATTCACGGTTTGAAGAAGTATACAAACATCAAAGAGCTGTGGTTAAGTGGAAACTGCATTTCAAGGATTTCCGGTCTCGATACACTTATTAATTTAACGAATTTATACTTGTCAGATAATATAATAACAGAATTAGAAGGTTTAGAGAATCTTGTTAACTTAGAGCTTCTTTCTATATCTGGAAACAGCATTAAGTACATTAAAAATCTCGGAAATTGCAAAAAACTAAAGAATTTAGATGCTGATAGAAACAGATTATCAGATCCTCATTCACTTGATGGACTTCTTGAATGCCAATCTCTTGAAATTATTCACTTAAACAACAATGGAATTGAAGATCCTTCAGTTCTAGAAATATTAGACAAACTACCACATCTCAAAGTTATACACTTGGATGGAAATCCAATTACAAGAACACTCATGAGCTATCGCAGAAATATGATTTTAAGATACCCAAATCTCACCTACTTGGATGATGAACCAGTTACAGACAACGAAAAGAGAACTGTTGCTGCATGGAAGACTGGTGGAAAGCAGGCAGAAATGCTCGAAAGAAAGAAAATCAAAATCGAACAATACGAAATGGAACAGAAGAATTTTGACGATCTTACTCAGATCCAACGCAATCACTGTATTGCATCTGGTAAGAATATACAAGATTTCCCAGATTTAATGACAGAAGAAGAAAAAAAAGAAATTTAATCAAAAAGTAATAGAAATAAACGAAGACGGAGACGGAGAAACTCAAAATATAGAAGAAAAAGAAAGTAATGAGAAGGAATCTGCTCAAAAATCAGTTGAAGAAGATGAAAATTCCAAATTTTCTCAAAAATTCCATAAAACACCTGAAAAACAGCAAGAATCCCATGATGTAGATGATGTTGATTAATAATACATATTAATTTTAATAAAATGTCAATAATATTATTTTTATCTGAATTATTTTTTCTTATATAAACATAATTTATATCATTTTCTGAATTTAAATTGCATCTACACGAGATTTTGGAAATTGGAAGGATGGTTTAATCCATTCGCCACAGGAACATTGAGAGCCATACCAATTGAAATGACCTAATTTAATATGACATCTAGGACAGTTTATTGTATCATTAAGTCTTCCAGTTGCATCAAGCCAGTCAGGTTTATCAATAAAATACGAATGACAGCCATTTTCTTTAGAAGCATATTGCTTTCTCTTTTTGACTATCTTTCTTACTTTGGTTGCTTCATGTTGAATGATGTCACTTCCCTTAAAAAGTGGATATCTACATTGAGGGCATTTGAAAACTGTATCTGCATTAATAACTGGCTCTTGACTGAGTGAATTTTGTTGTTCCTGCATGGATTCATTATTCATTGTACAGTCCTGTGATATTGCTTCGTTTTGGGTCATTTATTAAAATAATTTGGTTGATGAGAAAATTTTTAGTCGTAATTTTGAATTAAATACAAAAATTTTGACCATTCAAATTTCAATTTGTATGGATTCATCAACATTGGTAAAAGTTACTATGCTTCATAGATACAAAAAATATAAAGAAATACTCATAAATTTTTTAGCAAAAAGTCCATTACAATTTGAAATTCAAAGATATTTTTGAGTTTTCGTCTCGTGGCCGTTGTAGACTCTATATTTTGATAAGTCTTCTTGTTTATTTTGGACAAGAGATAAAATCTGAACTGTTGGATAAGCCGCATTGTTAGCAATCATCACTTAAAGTATCGTTTGTTATTCAGATTATACGACCAAAATTATTTAATCTTCTAAAAATACCTGTGTTCTTTATGTAGAAGCGCTGAAATCCAAGTGATTCCATATCTTTTATAAGCAAGTAATAGCAAAGCATTGCAATTTAGGATTGCAATGGATATATTTGTGACTTGTTAAGCACAAGCTACAGATGGTTTCACAGACAAGTCTCTGCAAATTCGCGCGACTATCAAATTTGAGATAATGACTGTTAATAACAAAATATGATATATATGTTGTTATTTTAAGCTTGTCATGTGTTTTTTTCTCAAAAAGATCAAGAAATTCAAGAGAAAAAAAATTTAAAAAAGTGACAAATTCTGAAATCATGTTATCTCCTGTAGAAAAAAGCCAATTACGCGGGAAAGTGCTAGAGTTAACTAATGTACCTGATCAAAGTAATGATATTGGAACGATTTCAAAACATGTTTCAGCATTCGGAGACATTTCTTCAATTTATATTGGCTCAAATCGAGCAGAGATTAAATTTATGAATACAAATTCATTAGAAAACGCAATAAATTCATCAAAACCATTTGCAAACAATAGATTAGTTAAGTTTCACTCCCTTCAACGCGAAAAAAGCAAATACACAGATTTGGCAGAATGTGTTAGCATGAAAGCCATCGAAAAGAAATGTAGAGCTATTCAAAAAGAAAAATCTTTGAAGCGAAAACAAATTAGAAAAAAGGCCAAAGAAATACAAAACAATATACAAGGTATATTCACAGAATCTGAAAAGCTCTTTATTAAACTTGAAGATGCAAATGAAACGGATAAAAAGATTTTATTAAAGCATTTACAAAGTTTATCTTCAATGAAGAAGGATTACGAATCACAACTAGAAGATTTACAAAGAGAATATGAATTTATGTAGACATTTCACAATTGAAAAAAAATTATTTCAAAATTACATTTTGGATTGTCAAAAACAAAATTTCTCTTAGAGTCATTTATTTCAGGTATAATTTTGGCAATTTCCTTTAATTTTCAAGAAAAATTCTTTCTTGATTTTGAAAAACAAAAAGAAAAGGGAAAAAAATCAGAGTCATATCCTGATATTTATAGAATTTACTATAATTTTGTAGTCCTGCGCGGAGTATTGTTTTTGGAAATTAATTTAAATCTATGTTTCACTTCCACGTCCTTCTCATTCATATATGTGATTTTACTGTCTAATAAGCAGAAATTAATCATAGGTGACACCTCAAATTTTTTTGACATTTTTAAACTCGAAAATGAATAAAAATATATTAGATTTTACTGTTATTACTAAAAATGAAACTTTGAGAATACTTTTTTAGTAAGTAAGCTAGACAAGTAGTACTTTAGGCTATGGTGCCTTAAGTTCATCTTTTAAAAGGTGCAAGTACGTCCATCTGACTTTAATTCAAATTTTTGACAAATTGTATGAAGTGCAATTGAAGGCAATGTCAAAAAAAATGTCATACCTGAGTAAGTGCACCCTTACAAAATTCTTAATTATCTTCCTAATAGGCATCAGTAAAAGTGACACTCATATATACGCTAGGCGGAAATATCACAAGAGCTCCGATGGGCAATATCCCTAAAGCTGAATCAATGGTTCTTCATATAAAATTCGATTCATTGAATAGCATATGATTTATTTAGTTTTTCTACATATCACAAGGAGGCACCCTATGATTCGGGCGGCGCACATATATACCACATAAATTAAGCGCCTACCATTCCCTGTATAGTACAATTTTATAAATTAAACGCGAATTTTACATTAAATTTAAACTAATTTTTTAAATTAAAAACAAACAAATAAACAAAGGGAAATATTCCACTTATTTTGTTAGCTTTGAAATTAAGTTATCAGCTTCCTCGCAATCACTTGAAAATGATGCCAATTTTAAGGCAATTCCCATTTTACCAGGCACGTTAATCAACTTAACTGCCTCTTTATGAGGTCTTGTTATTACTACTGACTCAATCATCTCCAACGTTCCTGAAATATCTTTTCCGCTCTTTGCCTCCTTCCTCATAAATATAGCCATTGCAACAAATAAAGGGAAGAACCTCGGAATGAACTTGTGGAACTGGAAACAAACAGTTGATACAACATCTTGAGATGTCAAGTATTTCTGTATCAAGCTCTGCCACTCGAAAACGACAAAGCTCATTGAGTAGCAGTCTGTATCTTTTGTACTCTGGAGCCATGTCGTGACTCTATCCATAATGAATGCGTATTTAGAGTCATAATCTTTGTAATTCAGTTCAATTTGTTCGCAGAGACAACCCATATCAACTTTGAAAATGGAGAAAGGAGGAGCAACGTTCGGAGGTTTCGTTGGAGGAAGCAAGAATCTCCTTCTTACAGCTTTAGGAAGAATCTGTGCATAGATCTGATAAGAAGCATAAGAAGAAGGAGGAACAATCTGTGTAATAGATTTGACAATTAAGTCTGAAACATTTGATAAAGAATTTCTTGACATTACAAATGAAACAATCTCTCCTAGAATATCACAGAAACTAGGATTCTTCCAGTTCTTCTGTATCAATGAAATGAGGAAAGGCATTTGTTTTTCGATCAAGTTATGTGTGTGATTTGTCTCCTTGACTTTCAACAACTGTATCATCAGTCTCAAACTCATAATTGTCAAAGAAGGAAAGTTAACATTCGATGCCTGAATATTGTTTTCGCACAAGTCAATTAACTGAGAGAAAGACTTTGAACTAGTTTGTTCTGAAAGCATCGAAAGCCTGATGAGAATATGGGCAGGAAAAGAAGGTTTGATTTTGTCAATAACTGAGTCGTAAATTTCACAAACTTTTTTATTGACTGTCATCTTTTGAGAAATCATGTAACAAATCCTTGCAGTCTCGTATCCATCGAGAAATTCCTTATTTTGAATCATCAAAGCAGTTATTGTCAGCAAGAATTCAAGAGGCAAATTTGACATTGCGCCCATAATTGCTCTGACAAGATGGAGTCCAATTTTCATTCTCTTCATGTTCTTGCAAGTGTCGAGAATGTGGACAACAGCTGTTTTGAGGACTTCCTGGTTAAAATAGCTGTAGCTCCTCTGAACAAATGTTAGAAACTCCATAATTTTCTTTGAAGGTGGCTTAGGAGTTTGGAAGAAATCATTGACGAAATCCTCAGGATTTATCATGAAACAAGTTTCTCCGATCAGACCATTCAAATGTTTGAATCTATTCGCGAGAATTGGAAGCTCTTTGGACTTTACTTGCATCGCGTAGTTGAGAACTGAATTGATCATGAGGAGAGGAATTTCAACATCTTTGAACAAAATGATTCTGTTTCTTCTCTTTGCGTAGTTAATCAAAGAAATGAGACCATTCATGCTCTTGCTTGCTACGTATGTTTTGAGCATTTCTTGGAGATATTCATCTGATACAGATTCAGCAACCATTGAGAAAACAGCAGATTCTTCTGATTTTCTCAATTCATCAGGTGTCGGATTTACAAAAACAAATTTTTGTTTCTGATTCAATTTGATTTTTGGTTTGTTTCCAGTGAGAAATGTATAAACATCTGGACATTTCTCTTCAAATGAATCAAGGCATGCTTCCAAAGTTTTTTCGGGTATAAAATCTAAATCTTTCTTGAACATTCCGCACATTCTTACCAAATAAACAATGAACTTCTCGTCAACAGAATGGTTCTCTTCAACAGCATTCGTGAAATACTCAATTGCAGCTGATTTGATGCTTTCTTTATGCTGCATCCATCCATAAAGAATTTCACACCAATCAGAAACATATGTTATGTCACGCGCTGTTTTCCATAATCCCATGAACTCCGCAGCAAGTCTTTCTCGTGTCGGAGCTTCGACCTTTTCAAAGATACTCGCACATACTGATGTACATGCTGATGGACAAAATGGTGCTGCTCTGTCAATAAGTCCTATAATGCGGAAAACCGGTTTTGACACATTTGACAGGAATTTGAGAGTTCTTTCAAGTGGTCTGAAGAAGTTGTCGATGTCAAGGGCTCCATCAACAACATCTAAACCATTTTTGTTTGCAAAGAATTCATCAAAGTTTGTCGTGTTCAAAGAATCTACGAAATCTTCGCAATATCTTATTGCTTTAACGACACTAGGACTATCTGGATTGAGAGGATACTTGAAATCGGCCGAACAATCATAATAAGCGAGTAAAACTTCCATGTCGTCAATGAAATACTCAACTGCTTCTGTCAGACAGTTCATGACAGCCAAATAATCTTCATCTTTGGCAATTGACTTGACAATGGTAACTGTATTGAGGAATCCCCTCTTTTCGTAAAAGTCTGTTAACATATTTAAGGAAAATATCTCATGAGTCGGGTTGAATTTATGAAAGAACGTAATTGCACTGGAAGAAAGCTTTGCATTTTCGGATAAAGTACATTCAAATGCGATTTGGCACATTTTGATCGTTTGTTCGATTCCAAATAATTTCTTACTTCTTTCAACATTTAATTCTGACATTACTCCTAGTATATCTACTGAGTGGAACCATGATTGAGGTTTTACAAAGATATATTTGTGTATTAATTCAGCTAATTCGTTGCTATCATCCAATTTCCGAATTAAATGACGTAATCCTGAAAGGAATGGACTCAAAAGCTCTGGTTTATCGCCAATTCCTTTGGAAAAATTCTCTATGAGACCTAAATCACCTGAAGTTTCCCATTTGACAGTTGCAACTAATGCGGAATCATCTTTTGTAACAGGCAAAATCTCTTTGATGGGGAATTTGTAGAGCGAGGAAATGGTTTTTACTTCGTTGAAAGGAATCATTATTGAAATATCATTGTATTTAAATTGTAAATTACCATCTAAATATAGGCTTTCGACTGAATCGATTCTTTTGAGTATTTGAAAGGCGCTATCTTTTTGTACCATCGTAGATCCTTCTTTTGTAAGTAGTTCATAAGCGTATTTTGCGAGTTGTGGTTCAATCGTCGATATCATAATATAGTTGGTTTGTGAAAATAGGAAGGATATTAAATCTAAGTTAGGATTATTGTTCGATAAAATAATTTCTACGGCTTCATCAAATAATTCTGGATAATTTTTGACGAGAGCTAAAATAGAATTAAATAAGGCCCTATTTTTCGAGTCAGGATCTTTTGTAAGGAAAGGTCCAAGAATTGTGCCAGCCCAATTTTTATTAAATCTTCCAATGCGCTCTAATAAATGAGGTACATTAGAGAAGTTTGGAGTATTTATATCAGTAAAATGAGGTAAACTTGGGAAGAATTTAATAATATCTTTATGACTCTTAGGAGAAGTGAATTTGATGCAATAACAGAATACGGATGCGAGTACCAATGATGTTTTGTTTTCTTGTGTAAATAAATTTGCGACATCAAACGCTCCCTTTAAGATTGATAAACTAAAATGTGGAAAAAATCGAACTAAAAACTTGCCCAACGTATTTGATACCATCACTTTAATGGAAGGTGTTCCTTTTTCAAAAATGCAAACGAAATATTTCAGAATCTGGGCAAAGATTTTAATTTTATGGTGTGTTGTTTCGTTGAAAAAGATATTTGGAGTTATTTCTTTCGTAATAGCATTTAGCGTTTCAATTATTGTATCATTATTGGTATCTGTTTGTAAAGAAATGCCTTTAGAAGTAAAAAAGTCTTCCATATTTGATATAAAAATATGAGTGTCAATTTTTTATCCAAATTTATAATCATATGAAATAGATTTAGAATGTCGTACATAAATAAAAATATATAAAACCAAATAAGTCTCAATTCAATCAATTCTAGCGGCTTTTTATTTTCAAAAAATACTTTATATTCTTGAAATATTACCAATAAGAAACATTAATTGCATTTGATGCCAAACCGATCAATAATTGAAACAAACCGTTTATCGTCAAATATCGATCTAAAAATTAAGTTTTTCGTGGTCATATAATAAAAACATGGCAATAAAAATGGTTGATTTTGATACTTGAATCAATTTTAAGGCATTAAAACATTGTAAAAGAGTGAATATCTCATAAGCTTTTTTCTTCAGCCACATTAGTGGTTACTCTAACAGAATTATGTGAGTTTTCTCGATTTCTGTGTTCATTAAGGAAAACACCTTGTCATGTTACGAATTTATTCTGTGAGCTCTGCGTATCTTTCATTTACCGGAATATTTATTTTAATTGAATACATTAGTCAATGTAAATGCAAATTACTATAAGATTTTTGAGCTTAAGACTTATTTAAGGAGAGATATTTGTGTTTAAACTCAGATGATTTCAAATATTGAGAATTTAAACATACAGAGACTTATTGATACAGTATCGAAATCAAAATATTATAAAATGGTCTCTCAAAGCTCAAATAACTATTCGGCCAAAAAAAATTGGGGAGTAAATTCTTAAATGTGTTACGTATTTGTAATTCATATATGGCACACAATGAATCAACAGTAGAATTAATAATATGACCTTTTATTAAATAAAATTTATAACAATGCGTACAATCCAAGAATTGAGCGCGATAGATGTAATGTCTTTACATGAAGTCCATATCTGCGTCTGGTCCAGATTCTGAATTGTTTTCATTTTCAGAAGGACCATTTTTATTAGAAAATGCAGAGTTTGTTTCTCCATTTTTCTCCTCTCTAGCACGAGCAGCAACTATTTTTTCAACATATTGTTGAAGTTCTTGGTATTGTTCTCTCGAAAAATCTTTTGTTAGATCTTTTAAGAGTTCTTCGATGAATTTCTTGTAGTATTCATGCTTGTTAAATTCTTGGCAATGCTTTCCGAATTCAAATGCAAAATTCTCAATATCTTTTGGTGATTTCTCAGTCATTGTGTCAAAACCGCTTTTCTTATCATTTCGAGTTGAAACAATTAATTTTAGAAGGGTTTAATTGATATTGTAGCTTCTCTGACGAATATGAAGTCGATTCCAAACTTGGATCCGCTGAAATACAATATTAAGGTCCTTTGTGCATCATGCACTAAAATTAAAAGCAATGGCAGCCACATATAAATGTGTGGCTGCCATTCGATATTTACATTGTTCAAAGCTTGTTTTTTCAGGTAACGTCGATAAATTTTGAAGTTACCGGAAAAAACGAGTTTTAAACAATTTAAATCGCAAATTTACAAATACAATCATACAAAAGTATATTATCTTTTGTTTTTGAGTCTGAACTTCGAATCATAAATTTGACTTGAATCCAAAACAAAAGATAATATACTTTATCGTTCATTCTACGAAATCTCTTCAAGGAAAGGTCTGCTCAAAACTTTTCTTTATTGAAATACGAAAGTCCCCCTCAATAAATTACAGCAAGATACATATTATATGCCTAATATCAAAATACAGATATCTTAACATAATACATATATCAATCATAAATATACCTTAACATCAAGAATCTCAACTTTCCTCTCAAACGGTGGTTTATTAAAAACGCTCAATTTTTCATCAACCTTAATAACACCAATAAACAGTAAATATTATACTTATATTTTTATTTCCTATACGACAAGATTATCATATATTACTTATATAGAAACGCTAATTCTTTGCACCGTGTGAAATAAGAAAACTAGCTATTTCTTTACAATTCATTAATGCTGCTAGATGAAGAGGGGTATGTCCATATTTTTCTTTTGCATTGATATTTGCACCGTGTGAAATGAGAAGTTCGACTGATTCTTTATTATTCATAAATGCTGCTTTATGAAGAGCGGTTTCCCCATTTTTATCATTTTCATTGATATTTGCACCGTGTGAAATAAGAAGTTCGATTGTTTCTTTATTATTCATAAATGCTGCTTTATGAAGAGTGGTTTCCCCATCATTATCTTTTTCGTTGATATTTGCACCGTATGAAATAAGAAATTCGACTGTTTCTTTACTATTCATAAATGCTGCTTTATGAAGAGCGGTTTCCCCATTTTTATTTTTTTCGTTGATATTTGCACCATGTGAAATAAGAAATTCGGCTATTTCTTTTTTATTTATAATTGCTGCGACATGAAGGGCGGTTTTCTCATCATTATCTTTTGCATTGATATTTACATCGTGTGAAAGGAAGTATTCGAGTATGGATAGAATATTGAACCTCGTTGAATTAATAAAGCATTGGTTAAAATCATTAGATTGATCGAAATAAACTAAAAATGATTCAAGATTATTGTAAATTCCACAATCTTCTAAATCGATCTCTATATTATATTCATTCATCAAGAATGTAACAAAATCAATGTTATGTGAAATAATTGCATACTTCATACATTTTTTATCTGGTCTTTGATATTTCAGGCATTCACTCATGATCTCCGGATTTCCTCCTAAAAATGATAATCTTAAACATTTTTTAGTTATTTGTGACTTAAATTTAGTTCTTAATAATTTGAAACAATCAACTGCTCCATGGTAACAACATAATTCAAGTAATGAATATCCTTTTTTAGAATATGGGTATAAATTACTTACAAGTTCTTGATCTTTATCAAATCCTTCGCTTTCAATGAAACAGATGAATCTTTCTTTGTCATTATACATTATTGCCCTGTAAACAGTATTTTCTGTATGAATATCGATATTTTTTGAATCAATTTTTTCGAAATTAATTAATGGAGCATCAATTTTATCGTTTACTTGATAATTATCATATATGAGTTTGGCAAGAGATAAATAAGGCTTTAAATAGCGATTATTATACCGGATGATACGTAAAATATCATTTATAATATTGTTAGGAAGTTGTGACTTTGAATCAATCAATTCTGTTTTGATCATCTTGTAAATCTTGTTTATTTCTTCTGAATTTTCAGTTTTCAGCTGATACAATGCATTATATGCATCTATGTAGTATTTATATATACTTCGCAATTCACTGTATTTATTTGGGAGAGTGCCTTGATTAGACATAAAAAAATTTAAATCTTTTGCACTTTTTCAATTTGTCATTCAAATTTTGAGATGCATTCAAAATTAAAATTCCAAAAAATATTGAAAAAGTGCAAAATGTCATATCTATATTATATTATATAAATTAGACCTATTTATAAATAGCAGTGAATTTATAAATATACCCCCTTATTTGGAATTTCCAATTAATTGGAAAAACCGTCGTAATTGGAAAAACCGTCGCAATTGGAAAAATTGCGAGATTGGAAATTCCAAATAAGTAAAAACTTAATAAATAAAATTTTATCGAGTTTAGATGGTTTTCTCCAATCAAAAGAATTCGAAAATACTAGTCTCTGATATATGAATCGTTCAGTATAGGTCTGCTCTGATAACCAATATTTGTTTCAGAAACTTGTTTCTTTTAGTTAAATTTAGAAATAATTAATTAACAAAACTTGAATCCTGTTTTGTTTATTACTTATTTATACTTATTGGTTTATTTGTTAGGCAAGTTCGAATAATATTGCAAACAGATAAACATCCACTCGGTATTTTATTTGTTTATGAACTTGGATTATTTTTAGGACAATAACATTCAATGTTTTGCTCCGAGAAATAGATGAATCGAGAAAATTCATTTTAAAACTTTCAGGAGATAGTTGATTTTGAATAGCTCAATGTTTTAGTTACTTGTAATAGTTATTTATAATTCATAAGTGAATCAATAAAATAAGAAATATTTTAAAAAGTTTAATAGGAATCAGTCTATTGCAGCATGAATTCCAAAGCTGTTCATTTATAGTCTCGAGCGATTGCAACATCTGGAAATCCAATATAAAGTATCACAGAAGCTTTGGAGCATTTTTGATGATTTTTTATATCACATGTCACTTCATTTTTTATGGAAAAAGTAACTGAATATATAACGAAGACAACATTGTATGTTGTTCCATTGCTTGTATCCATAGCTTTCATATACTTAAAACCGAATGAAGGAGTCAATATTCATAATTTTGTTTTCGTTAAAAAGCAGTATTTTCCGCAATACAATGCTGAGGTAATGCTATACAAACACAAATTGCATGGATGTCCATATATTTACGTTAAAACTTCAGATAAACATAATTTCTTTGCTACAACTCTTCGAACAACCTGTATTGACAATACGGGATCGACGCATGTTCTTGAGCATTTAACATTACATGGTTCTAAAAAGTATCCAATCCCATCTGTTTTTACAGAATTAATCAAATCATCTCTTGCATCATTCATGAATGCATTCACATCAGTAGAATGGACTGCATATCCATTTTCAACTACAAATTACAAAGATTTTCACAATCTTTTAGATGTTTACTTAGATTCAGTTTTTAATCCTAAGTTAGAAGAGATTGATTTCCTTTCAGAATGTCACCATCTTGAATTTGAGCAACCAGATAACTCATCTTCAGCACTTAGACACTCCGGAGTCGTTTACAATGAAATGAATGGAGCAATGTCTAGTACAAGCCACTACTTTACAGACTTACTAAGGCAGAAATTATATCCTCATAGTCTTTTCCATTTCAATTACGGTGGAAATCCACCGGATATCGCAAATCTTACGTTCAAAGATATCCAAGATCAACATGATCGATATTACAACCCTTCTAACGCTTTATTCTTCCATTACGGAAGCTTTAATACTGCAGAAGTTATGAAAAAACTTGATTCTATCATTCAAAAATTTGAACCAAAGAATATCACAATTCCAGAAGAGAAAATCAAAGAACCGAGATGGGAACAACCAGTTACTATTGAAGAAGATGGTCCGAGTGATGATGATTCCAACAGTTCTCGTGTCTCTTTGGCATGGTTGGTCGGAGATTTACGAAATATCTCTGATGTTTTCGATTTAAAGATCCTTAACCTTCTTTTGAGTTCCACAGTTGTATCACCATTATACCAAGGCCTAATTAAGACAGGTTACGGCAAGAGTTTCACTGAAACAGGATACATGGATTATATTAAATATCCATATTTCACGATTGGACTTGCCGGAGTATCCAAAGATGATGCAAAGCAGTTTAACAACAAAGTCATTACTATATTGAACAAAATCTATAAAGAAGGTTTCGATCCCGACCATCAACGATCAATTTTACATGCATTAGAACTTTCTCAACGAGAAATTTCATCGAGTATCGGTATGGACATCTGGAACAATTTAGTTTCTAGTTGGATCCATGATACAGATCCATTTCGGATCATTGACATAAGAAGGGAATTCGAAAGAGTCAAGAAGACACTGCAAATACAACCAAGATATTTTGAATTACTTCTTAAAACAAAAATAATTGAAAATAGTCATTGTCTGTTCTTAATAATGAATTCAGATCCGAAATTCCTTGAAAAGAAACAAAATCAAACAAAAATTGAAATGGAAAAAATTAAACAAAAAATGTCAGAAAAAGAGAAAAGTGACATTGTCAAATTGGCCGCAGAAATTCGTGCAAGAATTGATGCTCCTAAACCACTTCACCTCCTTCCAACCGTAACAGTCAACGATATAAATAAAACCGCCAATTTAGAAGAATATGAAAAAGACGGAAATATTTATAAATTCAGAAGAACGATGAATGGTATCGTGAAAGTACGTGTGCAAGGTGATTTACCATTGAATCATGAATTGATCAAAGATGTTCCTTTGTATACAACTGTTTTGAGTTCACTCGGTTGCGATGACATGGATGAAAATGAATTTCAAAAGAATGTGACACTTTTTACAGGCGGAATTCATGTTAATTTGAATGTGATAAACAAACTGAATGACGACAAAACACATGGTGTTATTACATTAAGTAGTTATTGTTTAGATCGCGATGCTCCGAAAATGATTGAATTGATGTCAAAAATGATTTTTAAGCCGCATTTCAACAACACAAAAATGATTGAAACAATGTTGAAAACATCTAGTATTATGTTCAACGATAACATAATAAACAATGGCCATAGATATGCTGCAATGTTCAGTTCTGCAGCTCTTTCGAGATCGAATTCATTGAGTGAAATTTGGTTCGGTGTTTCTCAACAGAAAAATTTGAAATATGTTTTACAAAATTTGACAGAATTGAATCTACAAAAGATTCACGATGAAATCATCATGAAGGCCAATTTCTCTGCATCAATTCATGGAGGATACCAAGGTATCAATAGATCCTTTGATTTTGTCAAAGATTTTGTTGATGAATTGAACAAAAATGACAAAAAACTAAATTCTGAAAAAGATTTCATTGAAGAATTCTCACTAAAAATGAAAGAAAAGAAGAAAACAATTATCTCTGTAGACTCACAAACTTATTTCTGCTGTGTTGCCATGAAAGGTCCATCGTATAACAAAGATTTCGAAGAAAACAATAAAAGAACAATTACTATTACTTTGTTAAAGAACCAGTTCCTTTGGGATCTTGTTCGAGAAAAACTTGGAGCATATGGAGCTATTGCAACTCACGATAGATGGACAGGAACAACTGTTTTGGCTTCGTACAGAGATACAAATCCTGTTGAGATTTTGGGAGCTTTCAAAAAAGCTGTTGATGAAGTATTGGAAGGAAACATAACAGATGAAATGATTGGAAAGGCAAAGATAACAACTTTCGGTGCTTTGGATCAACCTGAGGCTCCTGCTGACTCTGGATTGAACATTTTCCAGAGAAACATGGATTTCGAAACTGAACAAAAAGTTCGAAATCAATTATTGAGTGTTACAAAGGAAGATATCATCGAACAAGCTAGAAAGATGAAACAGGAAGATTGGACATATTGTGTTGTTGGTTCTCCTTCTGTTTCTGAAAAACTTACTGATTTCATTGTTTATGAATTATAAAACTTTTTTTATGTTGTAAATATACTTTTAAAAATTTGACGTTTATACAATTTATTATGCAAGTTCAAAGGATTAACTATAAAATATTGATGTACTCTAGAGTTATGTTTACAATGTTTTATTAGTATTATCTATATATTACTCTAAGTCTTTTACTTAGACATTATTAATTCTAACTAAAAAAAATCTATAATTATTATGCAAGTTGGTCCCTGAAGCAATTTCTTGATTGATTAGAATTCTTTAAATGAACAATAATTAAGAATTTTCAAATCTAATGAATCAACTTGAGTTTTGCATATTTATTCATATCATTGAGTTTCTTCGAATCTTATATCAATTAAAAACTGATTAAAATATAGAGAATAGATTTTGTGTTTTTCATTTTTCTGCATATCCATTGCCTGATCATATAGGAGATAATTTTATGCAATTGCTATAGTGCAAATCTTAAGTAACAAAAAAATGAGTTTGTATTGAATATAAAACTATTTTAAATTTGAGTTAAAAAAAATTAAAATCAATAAATATAATGTTTACATACAAAATAATATATTTAAGACTTGCTTAAGTGAATGATTCAGAAATAATATCCGAAGAACTTGAAATGTTTGATTTTCTTGAAACTTTTGAGTTCTTTCCAGATATTTCACTAGAATTCTTTGATGAAATAATACTGGAATTTTTATTATGAGATTTTTTGGAAGAACTTAGCTTTGACGAAGAATTACTTTCGAAAGAACTAAAATCATCAGCTTTCTTTTCATCTTGGATAGAACTTTTGAGAGTGCTTTTAAGGAATGAAGGTAATGTCGATGTTGTATCATTCAAAGCAGAAACAGTATTAGGTTCAGAAGGAACTTTGTTGGAAGATCTGGAAGTATTAGTATCAGATAACAATGTTGAATCAAAACTCTTTTTAGAACTTGTTCTACTTCTATGACTCGATGAAGTAGATGTAAAAGTATCATCTATTTGATCTTTTGAATTAATTTTATGAGACGATGAATTCCGAGAAACATCAGAAATGTTTTGTGTATCAATTATTTGATCTTTTGAATTCATTTTATGAGACGAAGAATTCCTTGAAACATCAGAAATGTTTTGAGCATCAATTATTTGATCTTTTGAATTCATTTTATGAGACGAAGAATTCCTTGAAACATCAGAAATGTTTTGAGCATCAATTATTTGATCTTTTGAATTCATTTTATGAGACGAAGAATTCCGAGAAACATCAGAAACGTTTTGTGTATCATCTATAATTTTGCTAAAGCTTGATGATTCACTAGAGTCAAATTCATATGATGCTTTGGAAGATTCTTTTGAAGTTGGCATTTGAGAAGAAACTAATGAAAGTTTTTCAATCGCTTCTTGAGATTGCTCGCGGGATGATGGTTTCGAGGCAATGTGAGAAATTGTTGCTTGAGCTTTAATTGGTTTGGACAAAGACGTGGAATTTGATGAAGATTCTCGTCTTTGTCTTTGAGACGGAGGATTGTCTGTAATGATTTCCACATGATTAAATGGATCGTCGTTGATCATTGATGGTATTCTTGAAGACGTGGCAGTTAAATCTTCAATTTGTGTTGCTCTGCGTATTTTATGGCGACGTTTTGAATCTTCAATTGTACGTACCTTCTTTTCAAGATCAATTAGCTCTTTCTTGAGTTGTTCGCGAGTTTTTCGATAATGAATATTTAATTGATAAACATCTGCTTCACGTGGATTGACAACAGGTAATTCTCGCTTTTTCTTTGGTTTTGGCTTCTTTGGCGCTGGTTCAGGTGGCTTTTGAAGCTCAACTACCTTTTCTGGTTCTCTATCCAAGCAAGAAACTGATTCTACATCGGAAGAAAAGTGAACTAACGAATATTCTATGTTAATTGAGCCAACTTGAGTTTGATTTTTGTTTTCTAAAGGAATATTTAGTTGATATGTAAATTTCATTCCAGTATTCTGATAAGATTCAACTAAAGTCGTGCATATATCAAATCCACATGCGCAGTGTGTATGCTTTTTCGAATCTGTTAAATAAATGTATAACGGAGTTTGTTGAAATGCTTGGAAGCAATCTAATCTGATAAAAAACTCTATTCCTGTTTCTAGATTGTTTTGGCATCCTTCATCCAAATTCACAGCTGATATTTGCTTCAAAGGTAGATCGAACATTTGTAATTTAAGTGTTAGTTCTTTTTGTTTCATATTGTTTAATTCAAAATCATGAATAATGACTTGAATAAGAAATAGTTCATAATTTGCAAGCTCACTACTCGAATTTTGATCCATTTTTATTCATATTCCGTTTTTTTTTACTATCTCTGACAAAATTTACGCGTCAAAATTGTTGTAGCTAAACATGAAAAACCTTCAATACTGATCATCATGTCCTTCAACTTTGAAATTTCATGACTTAATAGAATCCAAATTTAGACTTTTCAGAAAGCATATCTTCTAAAAATTGATATTATCATTTGGTAGTAGACTTGTTGTTATATTTCTGTTATTATAAACCGGATGTCTTATGCTAATTCTTCCAAAAATACGAAATATCCGTTTTTCAAAAGAATATATAACATTTTGAAATAAAAATACAATTACATAATCAAATTTACTCTATGTTATGGCAGTCCCAACGGGAACCGCGGTAATTTACCGAGGTTTCCGCACACCTAGAGATGCGAGTTTCCGAATTTTTTTAGCCCTGGGATGTCATAACCGCTGCGGTTTTGTAAAATTTGGGATAAATTTTGACAATCCATTTTTTGTGGGATGTACGTTTATATCAATTTGCTCGGCGTTTGCCGAGCTATTGTACAATCCTACTCGAATTCATTACGCAGCCCTGGTCACTCAAAGGCCAGGGCATACAATTACAAAATAGTAGAGTGAGACTCTTCTAATTTCTTCCAATCACAAGGAAGATCTTAGAAGAGCCTCACTCTACTCGAACACATTACGCAGCCCTGGTCACTCAAAGGCCAGGGCATACAATTACAAAATAGTAGAGTGAGACTCTTCTAATTTCTTCCAATCACAAGGAAGATCTTAGAAGAGCCTCACTCTACTCGAACACATTACGCAGCTCCTGCTCAACAATGAGCAGGTCTTACCACTTTGAGAGGCTTTCGCTCGAGTTCTGATGCAGATCCCAACGCGAGCGAGAGTCTCTCAAGCAAGCTTCTAATTCGTAGCTAGAGTTTCACTCTTATGAACTGGCAGCCAATTTGAGAGACTTTCGCTCGAGATCTAATGAAAAATCAGAACTCGGCCAAAAATTGCCCAAACAGGCTTGTAATTCGTAGCTATAGTATTGATCGTATGGATGTGTTGCCAATATGAGAGACTTTCGCTCGATGTCTGATATTGCATCAGACATCGAGCGAAAGTCACTCAAAACAGCTTAGACATGTCTATTTTGACGGTATTAAATGATTTCATAGGAAATGTCTCAGTTGTTAATTAAGTTCACGTGAGCTTTTATGAATGAAAATAAGTAAAAAAAAGAATTTTCTCAAAAAAAATTGTGTACGCATTGAAATTTTTATCTATAAATTTAGATATGTCATCAATAATATAATATAATTTTAAATTCGTGGAGTACACTTGGGATAATTGAATATGGGCTACCCCATCCCAACCTCTCAAACTTCCTCTGAATTTGGACAAGGTATCCCAATCCCAAAGACCTATCTGAATAAAATGAAATAAGTATATTATATATATTATTTATTTGCTAATAATGAGCATAAATCGCTAAAATTATGAAGAAATTAAAAATTAAAAATTAAAATTAGAAAAAAATGTTGATTTAATGAGAGAATATTGTATAAAAATAGAATTATTAGCTAAAATACGTATTAATTTTATGATATTTCAATCACATTAACGAAAATCGCCCATTTTTAATTCAAATGGGCGGGAAAAAAAATAAAATTCCAAAAAAAATTGAATTGGGGAAACGATAGGGGACGGGATATGAGAAACCCCATATGTTTGGGAATTTTTCGCATCACTACGCACACCGGTTCCTTTTTTTAGGAATTTTTTAGGTTAAAAAATATGCTTTGTAAATCATTTTTTGTAAATCGGCAAAAATTTGGAAATATTCTGACGACAATAAATCTGGGAATAGTATTTTAAATACGAGAACAACCTATTTAAAAGTGTTTCGTTCGATTTTGTATAATTTCAAATTTTCGCATATAGCTTTCCGTGAATTACCGTGATTTTACCGCCACATCAATAGTTTACGACACTTTTTCCGTAAATTGAGTAGTTTACTGCACTTTTCCCGTAAAATTGAGTTACGGGAATCCGTAAGATTACCGTACCTCACTTCTAGTTGAAAATAGCATTAGTATATAATAAATAGATATATTATTCATATTTTTGATTTTGAATTACGGAAAAAGTGAGTTCAGAACTTCCAATTATTATTTGATTAATTATGTTAAAAATACTATAAGGAATTAAAATACATAATGTTGAAATTTGAATTAAGGAAAAGTGGGTGTGAAAGTGAAGTGAAAAAGTAAGATATTTTTTGTTGAAATAATCATAGTTGTACAATTTTGAAACTATATGTAAAGCTATAAATTGAATAAATTCAAAAACAAAAATTGTTTATTCTTATTAATAAATTTATATTAATCAATATTTGAACAACCCGTAATTAAAATTGAATTCCTCTTAAAATTTAATCCATACGTTAATTTTTAATTTGCTCGGCGAATGCCGAGTGTTGTAAACAGAAATTCATCAAAAGTGACACCTCAGAAAAGCTAAAATATTGAATTTTTGGAACTTTTGATAGAGCACGTTTTTAAATATTAATTAAAGTAAATGTATATTTTGTAAAGATTCTTTTTAATAAAAAAATAAAATTTTGAAGAAGAACACAAAATCTTCTGAAAAATAATATCACATAAACTCATATTATTTTCTAATATATAACTATTTTATATAAAAATCAAATTCAATGATCTTAAAAGCGAAGGATAAACCTCAAAATTTACGAATATAATGAGTGGGAATATAATGCTTATCTATCATAAAACCATATGAAATATCAATTTTTGCTTTACGCCTAATTTTTGACGACAATTAGCAAAAAATGTTAATTGTTAACACTCAGTCCATTTGAATATGAAAAATAAAATTGACTTTGATTAAATGTTTTTATTTATCATGCAATTCTTCTTGCGACCAAAGATTTGAATAAAATTTCAAAAAATAAGATAGCTTAAAAAATAATATACGGTAGTGTTTACTAATAGATGAATAGTATATAAATTCTATTAAAATGGATTTGATCCAAAAAAATATATAAAATTTGATCATAAATAAAATCGTTTTAAATTACTTCTTCATTTAAATTATAACAATTATTTTTGGTTTTATATTTTTTTGGATCAAATCCATTTTAATAGAATTTATATACTATTCATCTATTAGTAAACACTACCGTATATTATTTTTTAAGCTATCTTATTTTTTGAAATTTTATTCAAATCTTTGGTCGCAAGAAGAATTGCATGATAAATAAAAACATTTAATCAAAGTCAATTTTATTTTTCATATTCAAATGGACTGAGTGTTAACAATTAACATTTTTTGCTAATTGTCGTCAAAAATTAGGCGTAAAGCAAAAATTGATATTTCATATGGTTTTATGATAGATAAGCATTATATTCCCACTCATTATATTCGTAAATTTTGAGGTTTATCCTTCGCTTTTAAGATCATTGAATTTGATTTTTATATAAAATAGTTATATATTAGAAAATAATATGAGTTTATGTGATATTATTTTTCAGAAGATTTCATTCTATATGCCTATGAAAAGTACTCTCAAAACTAACTTTTTCCTAATTATAATTAAATCTAGAATATTGTATTATGCTTAGTATTATTTCATTTTTCTCATTCAATTTAGAATTTACAAATGTCAAAAAATTGAGAGCTGTCACTTTTGATGAATTTCTGTTTATTACACCGAGCTTCCCTACTTCTCTTGTCATTCCTTCAAAAACTCTAATCTCATCGCACTTACAAACATCATGATTTGATGTATTGTCGAGAAATCTTAGACTTGTTTGTCATTTGATTATAGCATTTGAAAGTCATCTCGAAAATCGATTAACAAGACAATTTTCCAAACATCTACATACAAGTAGATGATGGTAAACCCATTAGAGTTGTTTTGCTATGATTCCTCCAATCTTATGATGAGAAAAATCATATCAAAACAGCTCTAATCGAACATTCTACACAGCTTAGCATCCAGCTAGTTCCAAGTAATGCGATTACAACATCAACGGCCAAAGCCTTTCAGAGTCCTTTAATCATTTCTTCTCATCTCAATGTGAAGTGGCCCCAAACGAACTACAAGCTGACGTTACAACGCATTACAACCCGGTTAATACGAGCATATACATTAGAGCTGCTTTGTTATGATCTCCCTCATCAATTGATGAGAGATCTCATTATGAAGCAGCTCCAATCGAACTAAAAACCTACATACAAATGAGTGAAAACAAACTCATTAGAGTTGTGTTGCTTTGATTTCTCTCATCAGAAGATGAGAGATACCAGAACAAAACAACTCTAATCAAACTTTCTACACAACTCAGCACAGTATCAATGCAAAGTAATGCGTCTGTATCGTTAACAAGCAAAGTTGTTTCGGGTCCTTCCATTTTGGAAGAATTCGGAACAACTTTGCGAATTGATAGTGTAAACCCATATACATGAGTTAGTATGGGTAAGTTGGGTACTGTGGCACTGCGTTCCACCTTACCCAACTTAACCTTAAATATTTACAAAACCATCTGATACATAAACGTTTTCACAAACGACTTCACTAACAAATTCCCTACCGTCCTCACTAAATAAAAATAACCTTATTTTTATTTTTTTTTAATTTTTTATTTCATTACAAAGACATGTCCGACTACATTTACTATGACTCTTTCCCAGAACGTTTCCGTGAACTATTCAAAACTCAAGTAAAACTGAGAAACATGCATTTTAACAAAGACAGACCCATTGACGATGAAAGAAACCCTGAATATATTACAATCCCTTATGACGCAAAGTTCATTGCATACATTCCTTATGGTCGCAGAGGAACAAAAACTATTTCAACAAAGAACAAAAATTATTTCTGGAGCGATGAAGAAAATTGCCTTATCTACATAAAT